CCTACATTGTTGTCAGAAGTGGATGTTTTTATTTTTCTTTTGATCTTTGCCATTCTTATAGGGGGAAAAAAACACCTCATTTTAATTTTGATTTTTTTTTTTTAGTGACTTAGACCACCTTATTCAGTGATTTGTTGTTATTTCTTACTTTGTGAACTACCTGTATATGTTCCTTGTTTATTTCATTTTTTTAAGTCCATGAATTAGAGGTATTAACTCTATTTGTCTTTCAAATTCATCATTTTTTCCTATTGGCAGGTTTATGTATTTATGTAGTAAAATTGATAGATACAGTGTTCTACATTTGGGTTTAACTCTATACATAGAAAGGCCTATCTCATTCCTCACTTTTTTAATCCCATATTTTCTCTTGTACTTTTATTATTTCCCTATTATTTTTTTTGTTTTTTTAAAATGAATTTATTTATTTATTTATTTTTGGCTGCGTTGGGTCTTCATTGCCGCATGTGGGCTTTTCTCTAGTTGCGGCGAGCGGGAGGCTACTCTTCGTTGTGGTGCGCAGGCTTCTCATTGCGGTGGCTTCTCTTGTTTTGGAGCATGGGCTCTAGGCGTGCAGGCTTCCGTAGTTGTGGCTTGCGGGCTCTAGAGTGCAGGCTCCGTAGTTGTGGTGCATGGACCCAGTTGCTCTGTGGCGTGTGAGATCTTCCTGGACCAGGGCTTGAACCCATGTCCCCTGTGTTGGTAGGCGGATTCTTAACCACTGCGCCACCAGGGAAGTCCCCCTATTATTTTAATGTTTATACTTTATAGCTATCTGAAATTTACTTTGGTATAATATATTCCTTATTTTTCTGTCACTTCTTATTGGCAGATGTTTTCATCAGAGTAATATTGACTATGGTTCAATTTTATTATTCATTTCTCTCTGTCCCATTTAAATCTATATTAAAACAAAATCACTTTGTAGTTAAAATAGCAAATTTAGGCTTTTTGTAAAGGGAAGAAAGTTGGTGAAAGTCAATGCTAATGTAAGGAAAATGATCTCTAATTCTGTACGGCGTTAAAAGAGTAGATAATGTGCTGGTGTGCTAAATTCTAAGAATAAAGTAAATAATATTGTTTCAAACATTCAGTTTTGGCCTCTGAGTTAGTTGATGAAAAGGTAAGAACTTTTTAAAATTTTTTAGATAGAAATAATTTAGGCAAATTATACAAGCTGTATAATAATACATTCCTATTGTAAAATACTCCGATAACACATATATGCATATATAAAGAGAAAGAGAGAGGGAGAGAGAGAGAGACATGAAAGGCCCTCTTCTCTCTGCCAACTGTACCTAGAGGTTACACTTTTCCAGTCCTTTTTCTGTGCCTTTACATGCACAGATATAGGTGTATATAGTCATTTGTTGCTGTTTTGTTGTTCTGTTTTCATAGGAATGGATTTGTGTTATATAAGAGAATTCTCAGATACCCTTCATCTTAATTCCCCAAATGGTTTGAAATTCAGGAGAAGGAAATTTGTTTTAGTTTAGTAACTGTGTACTGAGCACCTTCTCAGCGCTATTACTTTCATTGGGTTCTGGGAAAGCAAAGATAACTGTTCACAATCCCAGGTTGCTCAGTTAATTCAGAAACACATATTAAATACATAGTTATAGTATCACATGTACAATAACTGTTTATAGAAGGAATACAGAGGAAGTAGGAACAGGATTTTCAAGGATTAGTAGAAACTCACTTGCAGTACAGGAATGGGATGATGGTACTCAGGAGGACCATACTATCAGAGAGAGATCACTTATAATTGTCCAGACATAAGACTGACTATATTACCAGATTGTAGAGTGTAGTAGGAAGCTGGTGGAAGATGACACTGGAAAGGAGAGTAAGAGTTACATAATGAAATATCTTGAATGGTGTGTTAAGGAGCCTGATCTTTGGCCTGCAGACAAATGTGAGCAATCAAGCAGGGGAGTGATGTGGTCAAAATTTAATTTAACCCCCACTACAACAAACACAGACCCATTTCTTTGTTCTTTTCCATTACCGTTGTGGCTAATCACCAGTTTTATTATTATATCTAACATATAAAAATGTTTTCTCAACAGAATGAACTAAAATTGTCAGTGGTTTCTTTGAAAGAAGTACAAGAGAGTTTGAAAACAAAAATTGTGGATTCTCCAGAGAAGCTTAAGAATTATAAAGAAAAAATGAAAGATACAGTCCAGAAGCTTAAGAATTCCAGAGTGAGTTTCCTTTTTATTTTAATGCTTTTCTCTTTTTCTTTTTAGCAACTCTTGTTTAATTGTGTGTTAATTTTCTGATTTCCAGATTATCTATACATCTCTTCTTCTTAGGCTTTTTGCCCTTGTCTTTAATTTTTAGCTCTTCTCTAAAATGGATGTAGGAAAAGAAGTATAATTTCAAGACATTTGTTTAATTATGCAACAAATTTTTGAGGCTTTTGCCCTGGGTGATCAAAACAGAAATGACCTGTCCTCATGAGACTTAGTTACTTTATCTTAAGTGAGAAAGGTGTTAAACAATTTTAAAATCAGTTCTATAATTATAAATTATAATATGTATTATGAAAAAGTATAGGGTGTGCATGTGTAGAGGCAGGAAGTATATGGGAACTCTCTGTGCCCTCTGCTTAATTTTGCTATGTACCTAAAACTGCCTAAAAAATAAAGTCTATTTTTAAAAAAGCACCAAAGAGAGAAACAAACAAATAAAAAATAGGATAGGGTGCTTCAAAATAACATAATGAGAGTAGCCTAGTTTAGTATTGTGGAAATCAAGAGGTGGAGGTGGGAAGGAATGGAAATTTATGTTGACATCGGAAGGATGAACAGAGGTTATATTAATAAATTGATATTGAAAGAGCATTCAAGGCAGAGGGAACAGCATATGCAAATTCTATGAGGTAGTAGTAGAGAGTAAGTTATATTCAAGGAAGAAAGCATGATGCATAAGAAGGAGAATGGCATGAGATGGTGATGGAAAAATGGGCAATGGGCAGATTATTCAGGGTGCTGGATTTTACCTTAAGAGCAAGGGCATACCACTGGCTAGTTTAAAAGGGTAGTGTTGGAACATGGTATGATTTAAGTTTAAAAAGATTACGGGTTACTCTGGGAGATGGATTGAGGTATGGGGAACAAAAGTAGAAGTGGGTAGACAATTTAGCATCCTTTATGAGGAAAGGTTTTTAAACTATTAATTAAAAAGAACATTTCTGGTTTATCTCTGAATTTGTTATTTCAAGTCATTCCTGATAATTAAGAATTATCACACGGGAATAGACAAAGATTACTAGAACAGAAATGAGAGCTCAGAAATAGATCTGATTATTTATGAGATCTATTTATTTAATAAGCAATTCTGATTCAATTGGCAGTTCATCTAGACGAAAAGCAAGTTGGGTCTATACCTTGCACCATTTACAAAAAAAATTTTTAATTGGATTGAAAATTTAACAAGTTTAGAAATTTTAGGAGAACACTTGTATTATCTTGGACTGGGATAGAGTTTTTAAATTAAGATTGAAAACTCAAAAGCTATAGAGAAAAGTAGACTTGTGGAACATATATATAGTGCATATGACAGGTAAAGGGATTATATCCATGATATGCAAAGACACAAAAGAGTATTTACAAATTAGTAGGAAAAAGACAACTTAATGGAAAAATGAGCTGAAATATGATTAAGCATTTCACTGAAGACAAAATCCAACTGGTTAATAAGGTGGGAGGAGAGATAGACTAGTGGGGAAAGGAAAGAAGCCTTTGTATTGTTGCAGTGCTTGTGGTAAACATATGCTCATTTCCTAATTTTAGAAGAAGAATTAATCTTTTTGAAAGAATTAGCTGTAGTAATAGTTATTATACAATGAATAGGAAGATTATAATTGGTAATATAATTGCCCAGGAATAATCAGGAGTAGTTTGAGTATTAGCAGAAATGAACTCTTTTAAAATCGTTATGAATAACCTTTGGAAGGTACTTCAATGAGTGATTTAGTAAAATTATGGTAGTTTTTCTTTGTTCAAGGATATTTGGCAATTAGGAAGCATAATTATATCTGCTTAGACACATGTCAGTAATAGTGCTTTGCTACTGACCTAGAAACTTAATTGTTCTCTGCTCTTTAGCTTTCAGTATCAAGTACAGAAATTATTTAAGAGCAAACAAATTGACATTACTGCAGTTTCATAAAGGAGAGTGCCAACCTGGTTTCTATGTTTTTTTTCTTTCAAAGCAAGAAGTGATGGAAAAGTATGAAATCTATCGAGACTCTGTTGACTGCCTGCCTTCATGTCAGCTGGAGGTGCAGCTATATCAAAAGAAAATACAGGACCTTGCAGATAATAGGGAAAAATTAACCACTATCTTAAAGGAGGTTTGTATTGTATGGAGTTTTTAATGTCTTTATTATGTAATAGTTTACTGTAGTCCCTTGAATTTGCTTTTACTTTCTGTTGCTGTTTTCCTACAGAAAAGCTGGGTCATTGTACATTATAATAGATGTGGCAATGCGTGCTCAAGGATAAAACAGTGTTCTTTTTAAACATAGCAATAGTAGGCCCATTTTAACCTTGAGATGAAATGAATAATTAATTAACATAGCATATTACCATGTGTATTTTGGAAAAAAGTAATGGAATTTTAAACTTGTTCTGACAGTTGGAAATGATCTTCTAATCAGTAAGCATAAAGTCCCAACTTACTGTCTAACACTGTAGCTAGGATCTATAAAGAGATTTAAAGTTTACGACACAGACTCTGCCCTGAGTGAAGATGGACAGCTAAGGCCAACGTTTTGAAGTTTCTTAGGCTAGAAACTTGAAAATCCTTTTCACTTCATTGTCCTAATCCAGACTGCCCCCAGGATCACTGACATAGCGTTTAATGAAAGATTTCTTTCTTGAGGGAAGAAGGGGTTGAAAGGTGAGTAGCCTGAGATATTCTTTCCCAGCTACACACTTCCCTTATCTCCCATCAAGAGTCAGCACAAAAAAGGATTGAGATCCACTGCTTTTGTTTCTAGGGTCTACTGTTTCCTCTTTATTCCTACTACCTTAGTTCAGACCCTCACCCCCTCAACTTAGCTAGTTAGCTGATCTTATTAACGTGTTTCTCTATTCCAATCCTTGCTGATAAAATGACATGAGAGATAACACCTCTTTAGGTGTCAGGTTCTTTCTCAGTATCCCTAGTGCCTTCCTGTTGTCTGTTTCGTTCAGTCTGCATTCTTGTGCTGGGCTTTCAGTGTTTAAACAGTTTTATCACATTTTAAAATTGTATTTTATTACAGCGCATCCTAGAAAATAGTCCTTCATTTTATTTGTAAATCCTAATTGGTTGTATTGATTTTAAATACATCTCATAAAATACAGAGCCTGAACTTGGAGGACAAAATTGAGAGTGATGAGTCAGAACTGAAGAAATTGAAGACTGAAGAAAATTCCTTTAAAAGACTGATGATTGTGAAGAAGGAAAAACTTGCCACAGCACAGTTCAGAATAAATAAGAAGCATGAGGATGTCAAGCAGTACAAACGCACCGTGATTGAGTATGAACTTATTTTAAATTTAATGTATTAGAAAGTAATTAGAAAAACCTAATTCACTTTTTCCCTAAGATTCCAAATCTCCTATAATTTCAAAAAGGTATTCCACTGTTAGGTGGCTAAAACAGATGAGATATGAATCTCATAATGTTGCTATATCTAGATTTAGAGATGTTTTAGGTACTAGTTTTTTTTTTTTCTTTTCCTGATATCACAATTCCAAATCCTTTGCACAATTCTTCAGAAGGGTTCTGGTGCTACTGCTTATTTCAGTGCACTTTAGAGACAGTGGTCTAGAGTTGTATTAGAGTGAATCAACTGGTTCATTTTATTGTCCGGCTGGTCTGTAACATAGCATATTTTGAGAAAAAGTCTTATTTTTTTATTCATATACAAAGCAGTACTTTGCTAAGCATTTTGTCATGGCCGTCGTCATCGTTGTTGTTGGCCAGTATGTTTGGGTGTTTCATTGGTAGAGTCTTCTTCCCATCAGTTCCAAAAATGTGTTTTTAGAATAGATGCCCCAGATATGTCTATGAGATGACACTATTTCAGCCTCTAAAAGGTGTATTAGGATGGTCTGAAGATTTCCTTTGCTCTCCTCATGCAGGTGAACCTGAGGGTTTTAATTTGTTGCCACACGCCTTGCAGGAAAGTTGTGCTGATTCACACTGCTAACAACAGTACATGAGTGAGCACAACTGGGGAGTTGTGACTTAAGATCTCCATGTTAAATAACAGCTTTGTGTGGAAGAGCTTACTCCATGCCATGAGCTGAACATAGCACCACCCTGCGATTCGCATATTTGCTTTCGTATCTTGAGAAGAGTTTTAGGTGTGTCAGTCAAATACAAACAGTCTCTTTGGAATCAAAATTAGAGTTAAATGCTTGACTGTTTAGATGCTTAAGAGGAATTATAATTTAGCTGTCTCTATTTTCCTTTAGAGATTGCAATAAAGTTCAAGAAAAAAGAGGTGCTGTCTATGAGCGAGTAACCACAATTAATCAAGAAATCCAAAAAATTAAATTTGGAATTCAACAACTAAAAGATGCTGCTGAAAGGGAGAAACTGAAGTCTCAGGTGAGTATATGTTCATAAGAAATTAATTTCAGATAATCTCACAAGTTTAAAATGTAAATTATGTCATCCTCATTTTGAAGATTTTGTCAGGTCTCCAGAGTAGAAATTGACCCCTCAGGTCTGCTGCTTTTATTTCCATTTATAGCACCTTTTCCATTACCCTGGGATAGTTTGCATGTAAGTCTCCTCATACCTTTTTTTCTTTGCCTTTTTTCCCTGTTAGCACCTAGAATCGTGCTTTGCAATGCGAGTAAGTGCTCCATAAAGGTTCTGAGTTTTTTTGATGCATGAATTTAGATGGGGATTTAAAGTAATGTCTTCTAAAAAATTTTTGCATTTTTTCCTGATAAAAGGATCTCAAAAGTATTTCGTATCATCAGTGTTAAATGTATTTGAGTTGTTACCGGTATTTTGAGATTTTTTTTTAATGATAACTTTATCATAATTACCTAAAGTTACTCTGCTTGTTTCAAGTATATTTATTTTATTGTTTCATACACAGTCTCAAGTTTAATGAGGACAGGCATCTTGTCTTCTACCTTTTTATCTTCCAAAATGTCAGTATAGTGCCAAACATAATATGTTTATTATGTTTATTTCTCTTTTTTTTGTTGACTGCCAAAGACCCAAAAAAGTAGTCTATTCCTGCTACCTTTATCACATCTCATTCTATCCTTAGCCTTTAAAGTTTGTTCAGTGTCCTCAAGATTGTCCCAAACTGCTCTACCAGAAGTCACTAAAAACAGCCCTTTATCATGTAAAATCCCTTGGCCTCTTTTTTTTCTCATTCTTCATCTTGCCTACATTGATATCTTATCCTAAACCTCTGAAACCTGAAAGATATTTCATTACCTTTCACCATTCACATTTAATTTGCAAGGATTCCTAATACTAAAAGAACCACAGTAGGCAATCCCCTCTCTTGTTCTCAGGAACTTTTATTCTCTGAAATATTAGATTGTTAGTACGTGCACATGTAAGTGTATATATACATGGTGAGGATTGTCTCAAGGCTACTTTAAAAGGAAGGGAAGAAAGAAAAAGAAAATGGCTGGGTTTCCCCTCCCATGGTCTGCCCAGTACACTGTCCTAATTTTTTCTGTTCTTCCTTTTCTTTCTACGTTCCAACCACTTTTTTTTTTTTTTCTGTCCCTTAACTGGATATCTACCAAGCCTTTGGCCCTCTGTTTATCTCTAGAATAGGGGTTAGAAAGACCTTAGGAGATATTTAATCCTACTTCTTGACCAAATCAAATGAGCAGATATTTATTTGTTGTCACATGGTCAGATACAATTAATGAGCCAGTTACTAATGTAAGTACCTTTTGTCTATAGGTCATAAAAGGTGCCCGTGCCTGCATTAAATTCCTTTTAGTTTTGTACATATATGTCTTGCCAATAACATTTTAAGTTTCTCAACAATAGCAATCTTATTTTTTACCTTAGTATGTCATGTCAAACCATGCCTAGAATGCTGCCTTATATGTAGTATGCTTTCCATAAATATTTGTAAAATTGGAAAGCCATCTAGCATGCTGTTTCTTAAAATTAACCATGTAGTAGATCTCAATGAGGAATTTAAAGATGAGCAACCCCCCACGAAAATATATTGAATTAGAATTACCAGCAGTGGGGCCCATGAGCCTAAATTTTTTAGCATGGCTCTTGAGAACCACTGATGTGTTCTGCTTCATTGTTTTCAATGTTACAGAGCTTATCACCACCCAAGCTGTTCTACTAGGACAGCTATAGTTATTAAAATGTTACTTCTTATTTTGAGTTTAAAAATGTTCATTTCTGTACTCTAGTGAACCAAGATCACCTCTCTGGAACAAATCTGTATCCTCTTCTACTGAATAAAACTGTACTTAAGACATTTGAGGGTAAAGATCATGGGTTCTTTCAGCCTTCTCATCCAGGTTAATTAGCCCTAGTTTTCCAGCCATTCTTTATATAGTTTAATTTTCAGATTCATTATTCTGTTTACTGTCCTCTCTACTCTGTTTCCTGCTTTTTTAATTCTGTTTAAAATGTAGAACCCAGTACTAAACATAGTTTTCCAAGTAATGGTGTGATCAGCCCCAGAGCACAAGGCTACTGTTAATGAAGCGTAATATTGGGTTGGATTTTTAACAGCAGCATCTTGCCCTTGGCTCATATTGTGCTTGTGATCAATTAAAGGACCTCTGTCTTTTTCATATGAGGTTCTGCCAATTTAAAATTTTTTCGCCACACTTTAATGCAACTATTTTTTTGAAATTTTAATTCTGGATTTTACTGTTATTTATTTTAGGTTTCATGTTATTTATTTCCACCTAGATTTCCAAAATTTCAAGGTCAGTTTAAATCTATGTATCATTCACATTAGCTATTTGTCATGGCTTAGCATCACCTACAGATTTGACCAGCATGCCTTTTGCTCCAGGGGAGATAAATGTTGAGTAGAACTGGGCCCTTTGCTGTGTTGTATTTCTTCCTTCAGAATGGCATAGAACTATTGATCAAAACTTTGGATACAGTTGTTCAACTTGCTAAATTGTTCTAACCATACCTTTACCCAGATAACACAGTGGTATCCATTTGTTCCAAAATAGCTTGGGAGAGTCTGTAAGTCCCCTGGTGAAATCAAGATATATTTTGTCAAAGAACCCTCCTTAACTTACTTCATAATCAACTTTCATGAAAAGGAAAGAAGGATATGTTAAGATTGCCAAACTGTTCTTTGTGTAATTCTTTTGCACCCTAATGATCATCATATCCTTTTTTTCACTAATTATTCCTTTCCATAGATACTTCATCTCTTCTAGTTTCAATCATCATCTTTATTTAGATAGCTTTCAAAAATCTGTTTCCTGTTCTGTCTTCAACTCTACTCCTTATTTTAGCTGCCTGATGGATATTTTCAATCGATTAGCTTATCACAACAAAAATAAACAATTATTAAATTACATTCAACATCTTTAGTGTCTTTCCTCTTCCTCACTTTCTCCTTCCCCCTCTGTCTCTCTCTCTTTCCCCTTCCCTTTCCCTCTCTTTCACTTAGTTTCTTCATATTCAGCAGCATCATCATTTTCAAAATATCACAAAGAATTACAATTTTGGATTTTCTTTAGATAATCCTGATATCCAATCACCAAGATAATGTCATTGATACTGTTCATAACAACCCCTTTCTAATCATAGTTGTATCACATAACTTTCTAATACTCATGAATTCCAGCAAAAACTAGCTAAATTTCTTCCTTGACTTAAGATCCTCCTGCATCAAATCTGCCCTGAATCCTAAGTATTGCCAAATTTAATCTGCTAAAATATCACTCTTATTACTACACTTTCTTGTTTAAAACAGGAACTCCCTGTTCTCCTGTAGTTATTCATGCATTTAGTCAGTCATTCAACAAACGGTCTAGGCACCTACTAGGTGCCAGCCTTTATATTTGATTCAGGGAGTAAGTATGAACAAGGAAGGCATGATTCCTACCTTCTAGGATTTTTAAAGTTTTTTATCTAAGCTAATCATTTTCATTGTTTAAGGTTTAATGAAAAGTGTATTCTCAATATAACTTTCTCTGGCTCCTTTCAGATATCTTTGATTTCTCTCCTTCTCAAATACTATAGCGTTTTTAGTCTTATTCTGATCTGTGGTGTCCAATGGGGTAGCTACTAGCAACATGTGGCTATTTACCGGGCCTCTCCCTGTTGCGACCTCTCCCGTTGCGGAGCACAGGCTCCGGACGCGCAGGCTCAGCGGCCATGGCTCACGGGCCCAGCCGCTCCGCGGCATGTGGGATCTTCCCGGACTGGGGCACGAACCCGCATCCCCTGCATCGGCAGGCGGACTCTCAACCACTGCGCAACCAGGGAAGCCCTACATTTACTTTTAATTAAAATGAAATAAAATTTAAAATTTAGTTCCTTGTTTATACCAGCTATATTTTAGTGCTCAGTATCCAGTCTGGTCTGGATTGTATGGATTTTTAGGGTAGAAAGCATAATTGCATGTTCCATCGTACTGTTATACTATTTACGGTGCTACTTGTAGAAGGTACTCAGTAATATATTGGTTGATAAATTAATACAGACTTGGTGGGTAAATGGCTACACTGGCCATAAAATTACATGGATGTTATGTCATCTTGAATTTCTCTGATTTGAAAAGTGAGATAACTACCTAGACCAATGCTATCCAAAGAACTTACTGCTGGGAATGTTCTGTACTGCTCAGTACGGTAGCCATTAGGTACACGTAGCTGCTGAGCACTTGAAGTGTGGCCAGTGCAACTGAGGAACATGTAGCTGTTTAAATGTAAATTTAAATAATCACGTGTCCCTAGTGGTTGTCATGTTAGGCACTGTAGAACTAGAGTTTGAGTTTAAAAATATTTAACTTCAGCCAAGCTATCACAGTAAGACTTACTTATTATGTGAATGAATATGATAAAGTTCCACTTGGATACAGAATTTAATTGGAAATTGAAATATGTAGCTTTCGTGAGGGCTGTGATCTATTGCTATTAATATCCTGTGAGGGTTGGCTTAGAACTTCAAATGTTTGTTTGCTTCTGTGGATGTGCCAGTGGAATTGGGCTTTAATGTTTCATTCATTTATTGTGGCTCTACCTGTAGGATTTGGTTCCTCCTTGAGAATATAGGTGTTCTCAGGAGAAAATTGTTCCTCTGAGTGTGTTGAAATGGTTGGTTCAGGTATTTACAGATTGTATATCTTTATTTAACCACATTTCATTTTAATAGTTTCTCATGAGTAATGTCTTTCTACCAAATTTATTCAGCTTTCTTTTTGGAATGAATAAATACATATCTCTGTAGAGCCAGGAAATTAAATTGATCTGTAGCTGCTGAAATGTGCTGATTTTTTTTTAAAAATGGTGTTTACATAAGATAGCAACTGATTCACCTTATTTTTCCTACAGGATTTAAGAAATAAAGGTATCAAAAACTTTGGATTTATTTTCCTAATGATTAATATTCCATCATAGTTGTAGTAATTTGATGCCTGATTTAGATCTTGGGAATCTACATACCCTCTTCTATTTTTGTATTAGGATTTAATGATCTATGTTTAGATTTTGGGAAAATGTTTAGCCTTAAGCTAAACATTTATATTCGCTTCATCTAGAGCAGTAGTTCTCAAACTTGCATAGGTGGCAGTCTCTGGAAATAGTGTTGTTCTTTTTTGGAACATTTTGAATCCATACTATATTAAATTATAATCTATATAATTTGCTCAAAATCAGACAGTATCTACACTAGAATTTAAACTAAGATAAATAGTAGCCAGGGCTTCCCTGGTGGCGCAGTGCTTGAGGGTCCGCCTGCCGATGCAGGGGACGCGGGTTCGTGCCCCGTTTCGGGAGGATCCCACATGCCGCGGAGCGGCTGGGCCCGTGAGCCATGGCCGCTGAGCCTGCGCGTCCGGAGCCTGTGCTCCGCA